AATTTGATTCAGTTGGCGACCAAAATCGGTTGGCGGCCACATTCGTAGGGGTCAGAACGGATTAACCGTATTTACATTTAACCTTATGGGAAAATTTGATTTGGTTCGCAACCAATTCGGTTCACGACCAGAGTCGCGGAATGAATTAAGTTCGTGAACCAAGGTACCACTGTATTGTGTTATGTACAACACAATTCCTGAATTTGTGACTTCAAGATGATAATAATTATTTGAAATGTTAGTGGTTCATATTAGCACAAAGCCTGAGAACTTTGTCTTAGTAGCAGAGCAGTCCAATCATGCAGATGGGATTGCTCTGCCCAGGTATTAACCAGGATCTTGAACTGAACTGGAGGAAAGCCGCTATCAATGGTGATGCCACAGTAAAGGTATCACATGATTCTAACATTTGCTTCAGTCCAGGTTTTAGCAGCAGATTTGTGTGTTAGTTGAAGGCAATGAGGCATAGTCCCTCACAGAACTCATTCAGGTGGGGGAGAGGAAGTGGAGACTTGTTCTTGTCACTTTTATGGGACAGCTACTACAGCCAGATCCTATCCAGTGTCTGAAAAATAGGACAATCAAATGTCAAGGCTGCCATACTTTTGAGGGTAGAGTTGGTGCAAAGAACAGTTACAGCTGGTTTGTACCGAATAAGACTTCTATTTTTCTTATAAACAAGCAGCATGATGGATTACTCCTGGCATCTTCTTTAAAGACAAACACAAAGTAATTATCCTCCAGTGTCACGGAAGATTTATAAGAGGTCAGTTGGTTTGTCTAAGCTGCATCATTAAAATTAAATAACTGACTGAGAAATAGAAAGCAAGGCTGTGGTTCCACAATGCTAATTTAGGAAATTGTAGGTGGCAGCACCTGGACAACTTTGTCTGGTCTTGGGAGCCAAGAAAGGTTGGGCCTGGTTAATACTTGCATGGGATTCGGGAAATACCAACCAGGGCTGAAAGATGTTGAAAAAAATCTTGGAAGAAGGCAGTCATAAACCAACTGAGAAAACGATATGGATATAATCATGATGTCACCTGGAGTTGAGCTCAGCTTCAAAGACAGTATATATAATGTTACAAAATGGTTTTAATAAGTCATGGAATTTACTTACCGTATATACTCCCATATAAGCCCATCCACAGATAAATCAACCCGTGAAATTGCAACCAAAATAACAGGAAAAAATGGACTCTGTATTGGAAAATAACATTTATGAACTTGTTTTTCATGTACCTTCTCTGGCAGCAACAGAATTGTTCATTTCCTCTACTCTGCTAATAACTTTTAGCTTGAAAGCTGCATCATCTGACCGTTGGCGATTTCCAAACATGCAAACTTTTACATCATCGTTTAAAGCCGGTGATTTTTGTTTTTTTTAATCTGATTCTGGTCTGTGGATAAGCCAAACCCAATTTTGGGGGTGTATTTTGGAGCCAAAAATTCTTGGCTTATACACAAGTATATATGGTATTTATTTCCAGGCTTTCCATTCTGGACTTCAAAAGGTATGTGTAAGGCCTCCTCCTATTTCTACCTCCTTCCCCGCCCCCACAGCAACAGTCCTGTGAAGGAAGCTGGGCTGAGAGAAAGACCACCCAGTGAATCTCCATTGCTGAGGGTGTAGAAGAACCCGGCACTCCCAGCTCCTAGTCCAACATCTTCGTCACTGTATTCTCTAATAAAAAATGAATGATTTCTGATTACTCTTTTAATCGTGGAGCAGACTCATTCAGCTAAGAACTATTCATAGTCCACTACCAGATCATGGCTATTAACACTGACGTCAAAATGCAGGAGAAAGTATTTGCTTTTCTCTGCCCTGCAGAGTGACATTCAGATTACACCAAGCCAAAGGAACAGACAGCATTTAATTTTTGAAAGAAAAAGTGCCTTATTGCTGTGAATCATAGAATGGTCTGCTTACTTGGTATTAGCAGATGATTTTTCCAGTGGGATGCATAGAGGTATCCATCACATTTTGCTCATTAGAGTTTATCATTAGTACTCATTCCCTGTGTTTAACAGAAGAGTGGATCCAACAAAATAAATCAAAACTTGATTTTGGTCCTAACCCCCCAAATGTGGCGGTGGGGGAGAAAAACAACTCAGGACTCATTTACTTACAATACTGTATATTTTTAAAGATTCAAGAATAAACTGCTGATTTGCACAGCTGAGTGCAATGGCAAATTAATAACCTTAATGAATTAATGGCAAATTAATAACCTTCTGATCCAAATTTTCCAACCAACTAGCTGATAGTGTTTCTAACCTGTACAGCAGCTCACTTACAAATGTCCCATTTTAGCCTTTTGTAGAAACCTGAGAAACCCTTCTCTAGCCCCTGAACTGTGCTTTTCTTAGCAATTTCTTGCAATTGTTTTACAGTGATGAATGTGTCTGGAGTAGACATCAGCACGGCTTAGGGAAACAAGAGCAACTTTTCTCAAGAGTGTATTTTGTCCTCAGAGCAACCCTGCGAGTGACACTGAGAGATTGTGAATGGCCCCAAATGCCCAATGCCCATTACAGTTGAATGAGCATCTCCCCCAGCATCTCCTCCCTTCCCCCTCACTGACTGTCCTCACTAACTATGTTTGGGACAATCACCAGCAGATTTATAGCTATACATTAGAACTTTAGATCAGGGGCAAGCCATCTTTCAAGGACCCGGTTTTCAAAATGTTTGAGAGTGGAGAATTTCCTACAGCCTCAGTGGATAAGATGGTGACATTATAATATAAATGAAGAGGACAGAGGTGGGGTTTAATTGAAGGGATAGTTTTATAGCTATCTCTTAAACCCACTGGAGGTTTAACATGTTTGTTTTGACATTTTGAGCTGGAAATTGGCAGGCAATTGTGCTGACCATTTTCAGCATGGGAGATAGAAAGTGGGGGATCCCTAAAGGATTGAGTGATAAATGCAGTCTATAATCTATTTTAGGCTGAACTCATTTCTCTATTAACAACTTATCTTCAAACCACATCTTTGCACTTTATGGGGTAATGAGTGTGCAAACAGACAGATGATGTGACAAACTGCACTATTCTTCTCCCAAAGTGTAATAGGATGAAAATGCCCCTAAATAGTCCATTACCCCCTTCATTTTTCAAAAGCTAAAAATCCAACTGTTGCTTCAGAAATAGTTCAGAACATGCTCACATAAGACAATGGGTGTTATTATTACATCTGAAGATCTCTGGTTGGAGAAGACTAGGATATAGCATTTGACAGATGGCCTATAATTATCATAGCTAGATTCATTTAATGGCTGACTTATTAAGCTGGCAGTGCCACAAACACCTAATAAAGTGGTCACAAGAGGACTTCTAGTGCTTTTCTTTTATTGTTGTTGTCATTCCTTGTGTGATATTAAACAAGAATGCAATAAAGTCTAATGATGAGAAAAGCTTGAGGTGGCTTCTTGGTTCTTTGGGAATGGTAGTGGCACTTTAGTCTGTGTAGAAGCTGTAAATTAAATTCTGCGGGTTTTGCAAATTCCTCAGTTCAAATAGCGCACAGGGCTGAAGATGTGTGCAAATGGCTCAGCCAAAAATGTTTTATAAGCCAGTCTGCATTAGTGAGTACTGCTAACAGAAGGCATTTTTATTATCACCCAGGACCACGGTGGGTCCCTGCTCCTTCTTGATCAAGGGTACCTGCAAAGCCTCCAGCCATTGTGGTCAGAGTTGCCCCACTTTGATGCCCTGGAGAGAAGATTCAAAACCTAAGACCTTTTCTCCAGCTACAGGGCCCAAAGATGCTCCTCTTGCTTATACACATGCATCACATGCAATTAATTGTGCTCCCCTTTTTGTAGTTCTCATGCCTAACTAACACAATTGAAACTAACACAATTGAAAGGCATTAGATACATTTTATTCATTTATTTATTATCACATTTATATCCCACCACAATCAATCTGGTTCTGGTGGCTTACATGATTTGAAAAAATTTAGAACATCCACTTTAAGCAGAAAAGTAAAAACAATCAAAAGCCAGACAAATTCATAAATCTAAATGAAAATAACAATTAAAAAAAGCAAAAGAAGAAGCTAAAAGGTGTTTAGTTTAATTAGACACCTCTCAGGAAAGCTCCATTTTCAGCATCTTCTTGAATGTCAGCAGGGAGGGTGCCAGTTGAATCTCTACTTAGAGACTGTTCCAAAGAACAGGGAGGCTACCAAAAAGTGATGCCTTCTGGCCTCAGCTGCCTTTACTTCCCAAAATTGGGGAACTAAGAATAATCTCTCCCTTGGTCAGTGTTTTTAAACCTTGGTAACTTTAAAATGTGTGGACCTCAACTCCCAGAATTCCTCAGCCAGCTTGGAATTTGGGAGTTGAAGTCCATGTATCTTCAAGTTGTCAAGATTGGAAAAAACTGATCTAGATGATCTAATAAGTCAGACTGGTTCTGGCTGGAGCACATGATCCTATAGGCATCCAGGAGCCAAGCTATAAAGGGCTTTATAGGTCAAAACCAGCACTTGAAATTACATCCCAAAGCCAACTGGTAGCCAATGCCAGGCCCAAAGCTGTAATATGCCCCCAGCAATGGGAGCCAATTAGCACTTAAGCTGTTGGGTTCTGGACTAATTGCAGCTTTCAAGTCGTCTTTAAAGGCAGCCCCATGTGAAGAATGCCCAAGTTACTGGGTGGTAACAAGGGTGTGGATGACGGTTGTAAAGTCCTTGCCACGGAATAATAATAAATTCAAACTTCCTTCTCTGTATTTTTCTGGACAATTATACATGATGTTAGCCAAAAGGCTAAGAAGTAATTCTGTGGGGACCTAGTAAGAAAGCTATCTTACATGATGGAAACTCTCAGCACTGTTATCGGTTCCCCCATTTTTCTTTCCCCTTTGTCTTCTATTTTCTAAACTAAAGCTAATACAGAGGGGGGAAAAAAACAGAAACAAGAAAAGTGAATGGCTGGATGGAACTGAAATTTCTAATAACTATATTGCAATTTACATTTGCAATGTTGGATTCCATTCAAGGCTGAACTTTCTAGAAATGATTTTAAGTTTGTAAATACAAAAGGTACATATGGTCAAAGCCAGGAAAACTGTTGACTGCAAGCATAAATGCACAGACACACACACAAATACACTCCTGACAGCACAGTAATTTATAGTCAGTTGATGGTGCACCTTCAAAAACTGATGGCCGCAACTAACTGGGAAATGGCATGGTTGGAGGCACTGCCTAATTTGATGAAATAATTACTTTGACCTAGAATAAAGACTAGAGAATTGGAGGAAGATTAAAGCAGCCACCCAATGACCCCAAAAAAAGATATTTGAGAACATCTGATCTATTTTCATTGAATAATAATTGAGACGTATCTTTCATATAATTTCTTTTACTTTCATCTGGCAGACTCACTTCTTCTGCTCTGAAATATCTGAAGATGCTCTGGTTAGACTGAGGCTGCCTAGTTTTCTCTTTTGCTTATTAATGTCAGTGCATATGGTCTGTTTCATTCTGCTAGTTCAGTTCAGCCAGACAAGGACTGAAGGCATCTGAGAAACATTCTCAAGTTCTCTAACTGAGGGAGCATTTTCTAAATGCCAAGGACAGGTTAAACTAATACAAGAACAAGCATGTTATACTAACTTGAGAAATTGCAACTGTCCAATCCTGTGTGTTCACAGTCTTTTCCAAATCAGTGCTCTTCAGACATAGAAGACTTTCTGTCTCTCTGAAGCTCAATATATCTGGACTGAATGTAGTTGTAAGAAGCTGGGAATAGATAAGAGCCCAAATGGATGCCGATTAAAACCTGTAATAAGTCCTGTTAGAAGAGTATTTCTTATGTCTTTCTTCATGTTTTCTTCTTGGCTGCCATTTTGTACAAATGAATGGAAATGATAAAGCAGCATAGAATTCTGACTTCATCCTCTCAAAAATTGACACAGCCACATTGGACAGATTTTGTTTTCCAAAACTGAGAGCAGAGCAAAAGATTGTCAGCTACTTTTCTCATCTTCATTTCTCTGGTTGAAGATGGTAACACGTGCTGCTGCTGTAGAGACCTCACCATACTTTTTGGTAGGTGTTAGCACTGCTCTCTTTGAAATCTGATTCATGTTGGAGTCTGCAATATCTTGTCTGCTGCATCGGAACAGCTGGACTAGACATTTCCGGAACTAAAAATGAAATAACAAATGGTTACAATTGATATTTTATCAATCAATCAATGTTTATATGTACCTTTTAAAAGTTTCTATTATTAAAACAGGTATGGATAAGTTGTAGCCCTCAGCCTCCTTTCAGAAGAAACTGATATAGAATCCTAACGAAAGTGACTTGTGCCTTTCCTAGCACCGTGTTTAGCAGGGATAAAGAGGGAGATAGAAAGAGGAAACTGCCAAAAAAGAAGAAAGGGATATTAGAAAGAGGAAATATGGATGACCCTCCCCACTGCTTCCTTTAAGCTTACAGATCAAGGCCATGCAGCCCCAACAGACTATTCCAGTGTTTCTCAACCTTGCCAACTTTAAGATGTGTGGACTTCAATTCCCAGAATTTCCCAGCCAGCACTGAAGTCCACACGTCTTTAAAGTTGACAAGATTGAGAAACCCTGGACTATTCTAAAGAGAATTTAGCTTTCTAAAGTAAAAAGGTTGCCCACAGCTGCCAAAATGATCCTTAATGTCTGGATGCTTATTGAACCAAATTCATGTCTGGATATCCAGGGATTTCCACAATATGAAGCAACTTCATCCAGGTAAGGCTAGTGCCTCAGATGAGGCTCCTCTTGATTATCAAGAGGATTTCCATGTTTATCCATCTTCCAATAATCTTCAGATTATATTGTTGCAACTTTACTCCATCTTGTGGACATGGAAAAAAAGGTAAGAAGTGAAAGAAACTAGAGTGAAACTAGAATGACTAAGGAATAGAAACTATGGGAAGTATTAGAGATGTATCTTAGAGAAAGGAAAGTGGACATGAGTGAAAGCTGTTTGGAAGAGAGTGAAAAGAATTATGTTACAGAATGCCACAGCAGTATATGGAGTTACACTTGAAAAAGGATGCAAACTAATGAAATTAAAAAGGCTGTGGATGAAAAAACACATATAAGAGAATGCTGAAAAAAATGAGGATGAGAGATTATGTATAATATGTACATAGAGAACAACATAGTTGCCAAAGAATGTAGTCAACCATAGCAAAGGATAGTTAAGATTTAAAAAGGCAGTTAAAATGCAGAGTGATTTTGATGGATATGAAAAAAAAGTTTTGGAAATGGGTGAAGAGGGCTAAACAAGGAGACTCCAGCAAAATGAATGGAATTAAAAGTTAAGACATGGTACTGTATGTGAGGAGACTGTAGGAAGGGAATACTGGAAGGAATGTTGTTGAGATCTGCATGGGTATGTAGGAATATGTTCAAGAGGGGAACTGTGAGAGATTGAAAAATGGTAAGGCTACAGATGCAGATAGGGTAACTGGACTGATGTTAAAATATGGGTGTGTTTGCTTATGGAATGGCTGTGCAATTTGTTTAATGTGTGCATGAGGACTACATTTGTGCCTGACAATTGGAATACCATTTCCCTTAAACAAAGGGAGAGATTGCAAGAATGAATGCAAAACTACAGAGGGATTAGTTTGTGAAGCGAGCCTAGGAAGGTGTTTGGCACAAATCTGATCAGAAGGATACAAGAGACAACAAGGACCAAAATTTAAAAAGTTTACTGTGGCTTTATGCTGGGCAGGGGGTATATAGGCCAAATAGGTATGCTTGTTGATTTAGCAAAAGTATAAAGTGACTAGGCTTGAATTATGAAATGCTTTGCATGAGTTGTGCATTGGTTGGTTAAAGGTTGGTTGCCTAATGAGATAAGAGCAGCATATAACAGAAGTAAGAAAATATGAAAGGCAATGAACTGGAGTATATGATTTAACAAATGATGTTTTACAAAGACAGGAAGTTATGAAGAATCTAGTGAATGATGTTAATATAAATTAGATTTAGCTATTTTTTTTTCTTATTGCATGCCTTTAATCTCTTTGGCTTATTACTTCTTGCTCTTTTTCTGTGCTTTGCATAATACTGCTTACTCCAAAAGGGAATAATAGTATAAAGATATGCATGTATGTATGTTAAATTGTACCAGATTAGGGAACACTGCAATATTGCAATAACCATGGGTGGCTCAAATATGCTCAGAATATAAATGGATGCAACTAAATGTGTTACAGAAAATAAATGGATGAAACTGAATGAGCTTCAGTATTTGGAATCTACCTCACCAATACTGAGATTGCTTCACTAGCCCTCAGCCCGTTTATAAACCTTTTTCAAATGGTGGTTGTTTCCTTTAGAGCTCTAAGTTAATATGCAGGCAGTCAGATTCATTCAATTAAATGCTTCACAATAAAACCAAGTGGGAACCTTCTTCATGCATTCCCAAAGGTTTTAATTTTAAATTGCCAAAGGGAGACATTCAGTACCTGGTTGTTCATAAAGACATAGATAACTGGATTATAAACTGTAGCTGTTTTGGAAAAAAAGGCTGGGATTGCAGCAAGGCGAGGATCCAGTTCAAGAGAGGGACAGGTGGTGACCAAGATGGAAAAGGCTGCATATGGAGTCCAGCAGATTAAAAAGGCAAGAATCATAATCACCACCATTCTGGTAACTTGTCTTTCTGGCTTCCGTGTAGACCCTAATCTGCCTTGAGCATCTGAAACCTGGAAAGAAAAGAGAAACGTCTAGTGGGTTTACCCAGCATCCTTCTGTAAATGTTGACTCAATAGTGCAAGTGAAAATTAGACCTAAATCAGCGTCTGGCCTACCTTCCAAAATTTAAGGAGGGCCTGAATAGGTCAAGCTAAGGATATAATGGACGGCTATCATCAACCAAGGCAAAATACTCAATGCAAAGCAATCAATAATTTAGTTCAGTTATACAGCTTCAATTGTAATGTGATTAAAAATAATCAATGACTGAAATTTGCCCATATGCTGCCCAGTCCTGATGTTACCTTTGGAAAAATCAGCCAGAATGCAGAAAGGTGGAATTAGGATTAATTCTTAATAAGCATGTGAGTAGACTAAGTACGGCTAAAACTTCTTTGAGCAAGACTTAGATGATTTCCAGGAACCTTTACGAATGTAAGATTCTAAACTGAAAATCCTTAGCGTGTGGTTTTAGCCTTCACAAGAGCTCTGAAAAATAAATCAGAGTTTGTAATTCAGTACTTAGTTCTTAAAACATCAAGCAAAGTTGTGAAGGCCCAGGTTCAAATTCTCACTTTAGGCATAAATCCATCAGATAACCTCAGGGTTTTGTAAAAAAAAAAAAAAAAAGTCGGGGGGAGATATATCTTGAGCTCAAGGATGGAAGAAAGAATTTGTGAGGCCCTTTCCTTGATGATGTTTCAAATGCCATCCAAACATTTTTTATTTCAACCTTCTGATCTTCCATTTTACCAGCAGTTAAGGATGCAGTTAGCCAGTTAACTACTTGCTCAGTTAGCTTGGTCAATGGTAAAGCATACTAGGGGTGTAATTCAGCAAGATCTGGATGGTAACTAGTTCCTCATCCTGTTAACAGGATATTAATATGGGGAATAAAAGCCACTTAACTCCATGAAGGCAAAATATATAGTATTACATTGATTATGGCCTTCTCTCTCTCTTTCCCTTTCTCTCTCTCTCTCTCACTCACACATACATACCACACACACACACTGTGCTCTGTTACTTTTAATTTTAAACCATTGCTTTACTTTGCATTTGAAATGGAAATTAGAATCAAATATTTTGTTTGATTGGTAAGAGAAAGGACACTTATCATTTTTCAGACTTGAAATTTGATTTTCCAAAGAGGAGTTGTAAACTGTAGATAAAACAAGAATTGTTCTCCCTAAATTTTACTCACTCTTGACAGATTCCCAGAAACATTTTGAGATACTGATATTGCTTTCCGGGGCTTCCACTTTGCAGTACTTTATACAGTAACATCCTTCAATATAAACAGCTGCTATATAAATGTTTCTGGTGGCATAAAGTCCATCTCTTCTTCTATCCCCTTGAGGGTTATGAAAAAAGGATGCATAAGTTGGTGCATAATCAATAGCAAGACTATTCTGGGTGTCAGGTAAATTCTTTAAATAATATAACATGGTTTTAGTTGGTTGAAGAATTGCTTTATTGCTTCCATCAGTATGGTTTCCTATCCTATTATATTTTGCTTCGTCTGATACATTCTTTGTGAAATGTCTTGAAAGCCTGGTTCATATTTAAAGGAGCATATAGGTATGTTTAAATGAATAAAGGGCATTTCTTCAGGCTAATGGGGAGAGAGGGCAAGAACAGCTTGTCCATCATCCCCAGAGAACCTCTCTGAACCTCTGTGATTTATTTATAACTTCTAACAGATGCACAAATATGCTTCATCCAGAGGAGCACCAAAATGCATGCTTTGTTAGTATCAGGCATTGTATGAGCTCAAAAAATTACTAGCCTGAAAAAAATGGAGCATAAAAGGATTTGTATTCAGCATTCCCATGATTGCCACAGAGAAGAAAAATATCTGTCATCCATCACCACAATAGATGCCCAGTATTATTAGCTGCTTCGCTGTGTGTCTGTGTCCACACACATACACACGCGCACACACGCACACACATACTCTAAGCCTGTTGAGCAGGGAGTAAGACATCTGAAGGCCAAATTTCTCTTGCTGTTCAGCCACAAGCTCATCCACAAAACCAAAGCAATCTGAAGGGAGGAAGTATGGAGAGATCCATCTGTCATTCACCAATCAATCCATTTAGTTGCATGGAATTGTAGGCACAACTACAGGAAATTTCTGTTTACTTTGTGGCTGAAATAGAAGTCCACTTGAAAGCAGATTTGGTTTCTGTCAGATGACATAAAATGGAGAGTGTCGAGTTCTATATTGGTGGCCTTCTCTTTTTAAATAGGTGTGTTCATCATGCAGTAAAGGGTATTTAATTAAATATTCTAATTATTTTATGGAGACCTAAGGAAATGAAACAGTTAGTCACTGTAATTTTCCTTTGCTTCTCTCAGTTTGTAAGAGCATGAAAGCAAAGAACTAAAAAGAGACGGTGCAGAACACAACTTCTAACAGAAAGCAAGTGGATTTTTGATAGTCCTCTGCAGTGCACCATGTGGGTTTAGTCGTTTACTCAATGTGCAGGTGACATTGTTCAGATGTATTCTTAAGTAAACATGATGTGCACTAGCATAGGCACTTTCTAGAGAAGGGCTAAGAAATACACAGTTGCACCAACAATGAAGAGCAAAAAGATTGAAAATTTGAAGCTCTAAAACAGAGGCCAACATCCTTCTTCCATCCTTCTCAGGTACAGCAGCTTAAGCACACACCCACACACAAAGAAGACAATTTTTTAAACTCAATATTTCAGTAGAGCATCAAGACTTTTCAAGCTTTCACTTATTTCAGTCCCTTTATCTTGCATATTTTCACTTACCTGAGATACTTTCCTAAGATTTCATTCATAAAATAAAATAAATTTTATATGTAATTTGGGAGGCATGTGAATGCTCTCCAGGGCACCATAGACACCCTAGTTCCTAAAGATGACATATTAAACATTACATATTTAGCATTGCTAAAATATCTCCCCTTAATACAAAATATCATGCCCTGAGGTTCATCACTATACTACGATGCATATTTCCGATAAACGTTTGTACCTACCTTTCTAAGTTTCCGCATCAGTTTTCCATAGGATACCAAAATGATCAATAAGGGCATAATGAAACAAGTGGTGAAGAAGGTAATAATGAAAGTATGATCACTGTATTCTCCAGAATACCTATAAAACACAGAAGCATGTAAGTCTGTTAAGTTCTGTTAAATCAGAAGTAGTTAGATAAAGGCTACTTCCCTGAGTTGCCTTACCAGTTGGGTTCACAAGTGGTCCCGATCTTGCTGGTAGTATAGCTGCTCCACCCCATTGTTGGAGGAATGGTCCATATAAAGGAGAAAATCCACACAAAGGCTATCCCCAGAGTGGCGTCCTTCCCCTTGAAGTGGACATTTCCT